GGAAGGACTAAGGAAAGACATAATTAGTTGTTTATAATGACAGACCCCGCGGCAAATCAACCCTTTTAAAAACTCTTTTTATTTTATATTTTACTCTTTTTATTTATTCTTTCGTGACTTACTTCCTTTTAGTCGGGGATTTTTCAATATGTTTATTTAATTCTTTTTCGATTACTACTTTTACATCCGTCGTGGGTTTTTTCAAAATTTTTAATTTTGCTTTTTATTTTATACTTTTTAGAGATCTAAGTTACTGGCGTAGTAATATCTGATCTATACCAACGAAAACTCTTCCACAACCCACACAATACAATAGCGTTGGAAGAGTTAGAGCGATTGAGAAGCACGTTGCGCGGGTCGCAAATCGCAGAAGCTGAAGATAGGCCACAAAGCTGTCCTTAATCTGGATCTATCATTATGGCATTAACATAGTGATCACAAAGAACCTTAAATCTATATATGTATATGAGATATTTCCGCTTATGTATTGGCTCGTCACGATATCCCTGGAACCGTAATGTCTAGATATTTGAAAGGCGGGACTTAGGTTATTCCTTTCACCGAGTAGTGATCATTTAAGAAGAAAGATGAGGTTGCGGTAAAAAAAGCTAATTTTTAAACTATAGCTCTTATATGTATATGAAACTAGGGCACAACATTCTTTTCGGCAGGTAAAAATTTACCAAGAACGGGGTTTATGAAGTTCCACCCACAAGGAGCAGTGCGGGGGCGTTAAAAAATTTAACTTTTAATGTCGCTGCCCGCCGTCTGTACACTTAGATCTTTTAAACTACATAACAGATTTTGATGGGGGTTTTTATCAATAGACAGAATGATTTAATGGAAAGGTATAAATGTATAATTATATAAATGTAATGTATATATATATATATATATATATATATATATATGTATATATATATAACATAAACACGCACGCCTGTCACCCAGAGGGGTAGGCAGAGTCTATGTACTTCCATTTGGCACGATCCTGACACATGTCTCTCGCTTCCTCCACATCCATATACCTACGCATACACGCTCGTCGGTTAAAGGTACTCTTGATTTGGCCCATTTTCAATATATCGCCAATTTGGTCAATAAACTTTCGCCTAGGGCGTCCCTTCCCGACTCTGCCGTTCACCTCTGCAACAGAAATTTGCTTTGTTACTCTTTCCTCATTCATTCTTTCTACATGACCAAACCACCGAAGCATTCCTTTCTTAATCCTGGTCACAACATCATCTTGCAAACCACACTCTTCTCTTATCAAACAATTTCTTACTCTGTCATTCAGATTCATCCCTAACATACTCCTTAATAACCGCATTTGTACAGCATTTATTCTACTCTCGTGCTTCTTCTGCGACACCCAACTTTCACTACCACTGCTTACACTGCTTGAGACTTTACAAGGCAGTTTGGCCTCGGAGGGAAAACTTTTCCATCTCCATCTCTAGGCCGGCGTACCCCAGTGCCAGGTCCTTCTACTTGACTGCATCCAGCGACGACTGCCTCGAATCGTTTACACCTTAGTTATTGCTGATTGGCTTAATTCACTGGCGCTGCGAAGAGATGTTGCATCCTATTGCATTCTTTGTCGCATTTACTTCGGGAAGTATTCAGAAGAATTGTTCACATTTATTACAGCCGTCAAATTCCACTAAATCATATAGCAACAAAATTCCCAATACCATCCATAAATACATACATACATAAACACTCACGCCTGTCACCCAGAGGGGTAGGCAGAGATTATGGACTTCCATTTGGCACGATCCTGACACACCTCTCTCGATTCCTCCACATCCATATACCTACGCATACACGCTCGTCGGTTAAAGGTACTCGATTTCGAATTTGGTCGATAAACTTTCGCCTAGGGCGACCCTTCCCGACTATGCCGTTCACCTCTGCAACATAAATTTGCTTTGTCACTCTTTCTTCATTCATTCTTTCTACATGGCCAAACCACCTTTGGAAGCATTCCTTTCTGAATCCTGGTCACAACATCATCTTGCAAACCACACTCTTCTCTTATTAAACAATTTCTCACTATGTCATTCAGATTCATCCCTAACATACTCCTTAATGACCGCATTTCTACAGCATTTATTCTACTCTCGTGCTTCTTCTGCCACACCCAACTTTCACTACCAAACATTAAAGTAGGTACTAACATAGCATTGTTAATTGCCATACGTGCCTTTTTGGACACATTCTGACTTTTCACAATAGAGTGTAGAGCCCTATTCACTCTATTTCCTACATTCACTCATCGTTCTATATCCTTATCATATCTACCATCCCTGCTAAACACACATCCCATATATACAAACTCATCTACTTGCTCTACCAACTCCCCTTCTATTCTTATTTCACATATCGTTTTACTTTCTTCTCTTTCAAAAACCATAACTTTCGTCTTACTTGCGTTCACTTTCATTCCCTTTTCTTTTAATGTCCTGTTCATTAATGTAACCATCATTTGCAACTCGGCTGCCGAAGACGCAAGTATGACTTGATCATCGGCGTACAAAAGGAATTTGACGGTTAACTCACCCATTCTTAACCCGCATTCTTCTACTTTCAAATTTTCCAAACAACTGTCCATAAATAGGTTGAACAACCACGGGGAAGCCACACAGCCCTGTCTGACACCTTTATGAATGCCAAACTAGTCCGAGTAGGCCCCGTTGATCCTGACACAAGCACTAGAGTCCCTATATAGAGACTTCAATGCCTGTATCAGACCAGCGGTCAACCCAAATGAGTTCAGTGTTTGCCATAACACATCCCTGTCCACTCTGTCATAAGCCTTCTCCAAGTCTATGAACGCACAAAAAACTTTTTGGTTTTTGGCCAAAAACTTCTCCGCGATCATGCGCATGGAAAAGACCTGATCCGTACATCCCATTCCCTTTCTAAATCCCGCTTGCACATCCCAAATTTTTCCATCAGTTTCTTTCATAACTCTTTCAATTAGTACCTTAGCATACAGTTTTCCCACAATGCTAAGAAGGCTGATACCACGGTAGTTTTTACAGTCCTGCTGTGATCCTTTTCCCTTATATATTGGGACTATCACGGCTTTGCACCAGTCTCTCGGTACCCGCTTAAGTTCCCAACATAAATTAAACAAGGTGTACAGCAGGTCTGCCACCACTCCTTCTCCAGCCCTTAGCATTTCGAGAGATACTCTATCATAACCGGCTGCCTTACCTGCTTTTATACTTTTCATTGCTTTCATTATTTCATCTATACTTATATCTCTATCTATTTCCCCTTCTTTCGGAATTTCTATTTCATTTAATTCAAACGTCTCATCACTCATAAACACGCTTTCAAAGTATTCCTTCCATCTCCTTAAAGTTAAAACTTCGTCATTCAGAATACAGCCATTCTGATCTCGTATAGTATTCATTCTAGGCTGTTTTGAATATCCCCTGGTAGTTCTTACGAGTTTCCAGAACATTTTAATGTTTGCCTGGAAGTTATCCGATCATCAGAATTATTGGCGATCCACCACTTTGCGATTTACTAGTTGTTTTCGGCCTCGACGACTTTTTTGTCGAGGCGTCTCCACAATATCCACCGGCGATTATTTTCGGACCGATAGGACCTTGACTTTTAAGGCTTACTCCTATCTAAAAGGCCAGCAAAAACCCTGAATTTCCCTGTGTTACAGTTGTTCATGTACGACAATAGATTCTTACCATCAGGTGAGCCGCATGCTACTTTGCCCCCTCTTATATAAAAAAAAACCTTCTTTAGGCACGCCTTACGGCAGGAGACCAGAGAAATGGGGAAAATTCTAAGAAATAATTAGCAGAATGTCAATTTTCCAAACTTTTTATCGCTGTAAAAAACAAAGATTTCGACAGGTAGTGAGCATAACATTTTACGCCTGAATATAAAAAATATCTGCGCGTTGGTTATGCAGAATGCTTACTAATGCGCAGAAACAAACCAGACTGAATATTACTGAGGAGGTTTTTAAAACTGTTGCAACAAACTCCTGATAGTTTTGTGGCTTGATTTATAATAATTGACGAAACATGGCTTCACCTTTCAAGGTAAGTCGTTCCGCTTTTAAGATTACAGACCCACTTTTCTGGAATAACCAAGTGGAAAGCAATTATTGAATAATGAATATCTAAGTCATGTAGGTACTGTTCCGTAAAGAAATCTTTGAATGCAGAAGAAAAGCGAGAAACCATGAGGCAAATACGCAAATATTGTTTTTTCTTCATGTTAACGCCATAGTTCACAAGAACTTTTGAAATATTTGAGCTATCTTCGTATATATCAGACCTTGCACCTAGTGATTTCTGATTTATTCCCAAATTGCAGTAGTACCTGAGACGACAGAAGTTTGAAGATGATGTAGCTGCGTTGTAGGAAGGAGGAAGTGAATTTTAAGCTTACAAAAAGTAATTCCAAGTGTATTATATATAATAAAAGATGACTTGCCAAAAATTAAAATAACATTTAATAAAAGTTACCTATAACATATCGATTCTCACCTTGAACGCTCGTAGTACTTTCTAACACAGAGATCTTTTATTAACCTAAATGGGCATCTTTAAAACATAAAAACACTTTATTGTACAAAATTAAAGTCCCATTAGATATAGTTACGTACTTACATAAACACTACGATTCTCCAAAGTAAAATGTTTCGGATATTACTATCGGCTGCAGCTTTTGAAGGTCATGGAGGTTTCGGCTAGTTACTAGTTTACTTATTGCTTACAAACCTTTCCACGTACAAAAGCTGTGACCGAAATATATAAAAAAGCAAAAGTACATTTTTAACAAAACTGGTATTGATAACCAGGTTTAGTTACAATTATTTGTTAGTTAAAATTATTTAATGAAACAATACTTCGATGTTTCAAATTAATATATTCGTATATATTTAATATAACTTGTAGATGCCAATCCCTAAAAAATCATGTTAGATATTAAACTTTATATTCATGTTTACTTTTTTCTTCTTATTTTATGTCTTTCCAAAGCGTTAAATTAACAAATGGCAGCTGATCACATGGAACAATGGGATTCCTGTAAAAAGCACAAACTTATTTAATACAATAATAAACTCGATTTTTATTTATTTTAAGGTATTTTTCAATTCATTGTCAGGATTTGTAAATTCAATTTGTCCTAAAACAACTCAATGAGTAAAGCTATTTTGTATAGCCTACAGACAATGAAAAGTAAACAGACTAGAGCAAAACTATTTTAAAAGGGATAATCGAAATGTCATAAAGAGTTTATATGATATTATTTAATTTTTATATGTATATGAATTTGTACTAGAACGATAACTCGCCCACATATTTCTTACCATGGAGACACCAATTCGAAGGCTTTTTTTTGCATCTTCTTTATGTTAATGCCATTATCACAGAATAAGCGCGCCATTGAAGATCCTTTACGAATCGTTTCTAGTTGTTCTGAAAACGTTTTGTATATACTTTTTAATTTAGCTTATCTTTTATTTAGCTTATCGTCTAAGAACCGTATTAACTCAATCTTGAAACGGGGAAGTTTGGCTTTATTTTTTATATTACTCAATAATTTTTTTTATTATTAAATAGTGAAATAAAGTAAAATTAAAGCATTATATGTACGCTCAACAAAGATTTTCTCTCTCATTTCTAAGAGGGTTAGACTTAGAATCCACTAAAGCGGACATGGGTGGCGAGCAGAGCAGAAGAGAGACCAGGGTTTGTTAAACGTAGCTGATGTGTGTTGCCTAGTGGCTGTGAGTGGTGAGTGTGATGATCGGCGATCTCACCTATCCTCCCACTTTTCATACACTCTCGATCTCCTGCCTGCTCTGCTTGCGTGACTAAGGTTACATCCCTGTTTTGATCGAGCTATTTTAATATAAGACATGCCCGCTCCTCTCTGTTTGAATTTATTTTGAAAATCGTGATATGATTGGGAGTCCCGCCGTACGCCGCCTTACACACATTACTCTCACGTCTCTCTCCCTCGCATCATTCTTACATATCTCTCGCTTGTTTTGTATAAATACAGATCTAGTTTCGCTAAGCCATTTTTTAATATAGCTGCGCAGATTAAGGCTACTAACATGGAGTAATTTTACTGGTGGATTTTTCCTTCCGCCCCACTTAGCTACATCACACAGCTCTATGACTTATGGAGCTGTTCTTCATTCATTCATTCATTACAGCCCTTCACAAGTTCACTGATGAACATAGGCCTAGTGCTTAGGTTCTCCAGTGATTCTGCCACAAGGACTATATCGTCGCAAATTGAAGATAAGTGATGTACTCGCCATTGACGTTAATACCGTATCCTTTCCGGTCCAGTAGCTTATATACGTCTTCCAATGCAGCGGTGATTCTTCACCGCTGCATTGGAAGACATTGCAAGAGACAGGGTAAACGAAACTCTTTTCGGGGATATAACGTCACCCTGTCTCTTGCTCATACTTCGTCCACTAATTGTCCGGGATACCATCGGAATAATGTTGGATAAGACGATGAAGAAGATGTAGCTGTTCGTCTATTGCATTATTGCAGTGTGTATTGACGGACTAAACATGCCTTTGAATTTTTTCCTTTCTTAGATACACAGGTTACCTTGCAATTTTTTCTTTCGTGGCGGTGATAGAAAACGTCTTGCGAGTGTCGTTTGCGATGAGCACTCATTGAGAAGCAGAGATAGCATAGAGTTAGAGCAAATGCTCTCGTCCTGTAAAATAGTACGACCACACATTGCTTACCGAGAGTAAAAGCGATTTCCTTATCCTCTCCATTTTCATAAAAGTATCGGTCACCAACGCGCGTGATGTAAAACTGTCTAAGTAAAATGCAGAGAAAAGTGGGCCCAACTAGAGTACCAGGCACATGTTTCTCCAATGATCCTCCTACAGTAAGTTCAATGTCTTCTACTCTTTTATATATTGATTTAAGTGCTTGTACGTTCTGGATATTTATTAACGAAAAATTATATTAACGTTAAGAACTACGTCATTGTTGTAAAAAAAATATTAATAATTAATATGTATTCTTACAATACAAATATTACCTAAAATATGATTACAACCAATAAAAAATGATTTGGATTTTAGATTATGAATTAAATAAACAGGGTTACCTTTATTGACATGTAGTCACACAGATCGTTGAAGGTCTTTGGGATTGAAAGACCGCAATAAGATCGAAGATCAATGTAGTTGCCTACACCATGATCTCGAGCACGTTGAATATCAATAGCCCTCAAATCCATACCGAGAGTTTGGTTTCCCCTGGAGATATAAGGGTAAAGGTTTAAGCAAACTGAAGTTAAATATTCCATTTTATTATTACTTTATTAGGAACGTTATGGTAATTAATTAATTATAATAATTAAATAGGTAACTAGGATGTGTTTAAGTTGACAACCTTTGTTTAAATATTTTAATGTAACATACATTAGAGTTCACAAATTGCTAGTCTGAAACTAAATCCTAGTTTTTTTTTTAAATTTCTTCGTATTTCGCATCGTTCTACGGAGCACTGAACAATTAGGAATAGCAGTCGTAGGCTGCGTTTTCTGCCTGTGTCCTTCTGGATAGATACCACCCTCTTATCTATTTCCGTCGCTAAATGTCAGTGCCTGCACTGCTGTATTCCTGTCTGATCGTTACAGTTAGTCAGTATAAATGTAGGCTGTGAGATTCCATCATAATCCTCAGAGTGACTACACATCTGTAGCCTTTCTTTATAGAAGTTGGCTGCAAGAGTTCAAGGACTGCAGTAAACACTTACCTAAAGATGGGCTGTAATTTATCTTTTTACTCCAGTTTTATAAAAAGCAAGTATCTGTCTTATGGCGTAGAAACATAGATATTTACGACAATATCTCCTGCACAGTTACAAGTATTTTATAGAATAAGCATGACAACACAAAGTCCAACAGGATGATGTTGTCTATATACATCTATATATATCCTCAATTAATAATGCAGATACATTTTCACCCCTGAGGACTATGATAAAATATCTCGTTACCAGTAAAAAGGGTCTCCGGTTCTTTAAACTCACCATACGAAACATGGCAATATTATTCTGCTGTTTCATGCTGGTATTCTGTGCGAGCGTGTTCCTACCCCAGTCGAGCCGACCTATTCGTGCTGCAGCTATAATATAGCTGCGGCGTGGCTCCACCAAGTATTTGATTCGATGTTGTCGTAACCAAAATCAATATACGTCATATAATTTTAGAATGTCTACTTTCCGAGAAAAATATTTCCCTATAAAATAAAATAACTTACTTAAATAAGTATTGAGTAACTTCAAGGTCGAAGTATTGGTCACTTTTATCTTGGGGTTGAAAAGATAAACCTATCGCTAAGCCATCGTAGCCATTATTTTTCTCAAGTATTGATGGCTTGTTCATCCAGTCACTTAATCTTATAGACTGGTATGGAAATCGATGCTCTGTGTATAGTCTGCAATCAAAAAGAACAGTATACTTATGATATGGTTTTTAAATAAATCTAAAATGCCTAAAATTTATACTTGACACTCAAATCCTTGTATGTATGTACGAGTATGTAAGCTTATATTATGTAGTGCAATGTGTTATAATATTGGTAAATTTATAGTATATATATATATATATATATATATATATAGTATATTTATGTATAGTGTATAGTGCCGTTTGTGTCGATGGTAATGAATATACACATTACATTGGTTCTTTATAAAGCTATTAATTGTCTATAGATCTTATTCATTAAAACTCCATCTATCCTTCGATCTATTACTACCTATCAAACTCCATGAGTGAACGTAGGCCACCCCCAAATAGTGGTTAATAGGGGGACCCATATCTGCCTTAGTTGCCACGCTTAGCAGCGGGTTGGTAACCGTACTTTTGTATTATTTTAGTCGTTATCAGGAAGATGCTGCTGTCCATTTGACAGTTGATTTCCCTCAGTTTCCTCTTACGACACCCACGGGATGGTAAAAATATATAAATGAATAAATCTATTTTTAACAATAATGAGCAAGTTCATCGTCCGTCATAAATTACTCAAGACAGTCTAGTAATTATATGAACATCGCCACTTCATCTCGTAATTTGTATCTTAAAGGTCAAAGTATTATTTGATTGTACAAACTCTTCGACGATATAAATGACGGTGTATCTTGCGTATTACATTCAGTCAAAAAAGTATCGGGAAGGGATGGTTTGATTATGGTTCCAAATTATTTTTTTTTATAACATAAGGGTGACAAACGAGCACACAGTCCACCTGATGGTAAGTGGTTGCTGTGGCCCATATACATCCACATCTATCCTCGATTACGAATCAAAACGCAAATGCGTCGTCACCCGTGAGGACTGAGATGGAATGCCTCGTTTCCAGTGAAAGGATCTCCGGTTCTCTACACTCACCATACGAAACACAGCAGCGTTAAGCTGCTATTTTACGCTGGTATTCTGAGAGCGTGGTCCTTCCCCGGTCGAGCCGACCCATTAGTACTAAAACCATAACATAGCTGCAGCATGGTTCTACCACGTAAAAATTTTTTTATTGTTAAATTGTTAGAAAGTTGTTGTTATTGTTAGATTGGCACAACCTTTTTTTATTTTGGCGCGGAGTTTGAGTTTCATCTGTTATTTAGATTAAATACAGTGCTGTTTTTAGTTTTAGAGTTTGGCTTGAATTTTGCATCGCCAATAGAATTTCGTGTTCGGAGTCACTGAAAATATTACAGAAGGCTTAAGGTGAATTGACTTCATCATAAACACGCGCTTATGCACTCATAAACACGTGTTTTTGATGTACCACTGTACAAAGCGTTCAAAATCGGTCGAGTTGTGATGGAAGATTTGCCTCGCTGTGGTAGGCCACCTACGTCTGCAACTGAAGTTAACATTGCAAAAGTGAAGGAAGTATTGACAAAAAATCCTTATTTAAAGTTGAGAGAGATAGCCGCCGAACTTTGTGTGACTCACGAGTTGATCGAATAATCGATACTTGGATATGAAACATGTTGCCGCTCGGCTAGTCCCAAAATATCTGAATTTTCTCCAAAAACTCAATCACATAAGAGTCGCTTAGGACATTCTAGAAGGAGTCAGTTTCGACCCATTATTCATGAAACGCATTGTTACTGGTGATGAGACGTGGGTTTACGAGTTTGAAATGCAAAGTAGTCAACAAGCTTCGGAGTGGCGCCTTCCAACTGAACTGAAACTAAAAAAAACACGCCAAAGTCGATCAAAAGTAAAGTCATGTTGACTAATTTGTTTGACTATCACGCTGTTGTGTACTCAGAACTGTTGCCTGGAGGTTAAACGGTAAAAAAAAATTATTTGAGCGCTATGCGGCGTGTAATAGAGCTAATTAGACGAAAAAGGTCAGAATTGTGGAAAGAAAATTCTTTTATGTTGCACCGCAATAATGCGCCTTCGCACAAGACCATCATTGTGAACGAATTTTTGACCAAAAACTCAACAAATACCATCGAACCACCTTATTTACCAGATATGGCTCCAGCCGACTTCTTTTTTTTTCCTAAACTAAAATTACCCCTTCAAGGCACAGTTTTCATTCAGTAGAAGACATAAAGGGGAATTCGCAGCAAGAACTGAACTCAATTCCGGAAAAATCGTTTAAAAATATTGTGATAATTGAATTGTTCATTGCAGAAAGTGTATCGTTTATGAAGGAGCATACTTTGAAGGTGACAAAATAAACTTGGGTGAATAACTAACATTTTGTGTATTATTGATCTTTTCTTGATAATTTCTTGACAGATTAGTTCATTACATCTCTTATAGTTCGCCGAACGTGTTAAATTTTGTTATACTAGAGGTACACGGCTGCCTTAGAAGGTATTTCATCCTTAAATTAAAAAATTGTATATACCTAGTCAGGTCATAAATTCTGTCACATGTTTAATATAAAATAATTGAAACAAGTTTATTCATTATGTAACCATTTATATACCAAAATGAACTTAACAAAATATAGATTCTTATGACACTAAAGTTTATTCAGAATGACCTCCGTGAATTTGAATACAGGCCTTCAATCTGCGCGGCCAGTCGTCTATCGCAGCACGAACGAGGTCCATTTCAATTTCGGCGGCTTAATCAAGGATATCTTGAGTGACTCCAAATTGGGATGAGGCTTTGAGCACGCCTTTTCCTCCAAGTGTTGCCATATCTTGTAATCTAACGGCTTCAAATCTGGACTGGAGGAGGGCCAGTCTTCGTGCCGGATGAAGTCGATTTCACGCGCCGCCACCCAGTCTTGTGTGCTCTTCGCTCTATGAGCTGGCGCCGAATCTTGTTGGAATACCCAGTGCCTGTTATTGAACATGGTATGAGAAACAGGTTCCACAAGGTTCGTCAGGACTGTATTTTGATACACAACTGCATTCGTTTTTACACCTTTCTCACAAAAATGTACCTCTGTTAAGCCCCAATAAGAAACTCCCAACCATACCATGAGCGAGGATGGAAAATGACCTCGTTGGACACTCGGAATATGGTTGCTCGCTTCTTCACTACTGTGTGCGTACACCTTATCATTTTGTTTGTTGTAGCTCTCTTCTACGGTAAAATTTTTATCATCCGAAAAAAGAATTTCCCGATATTTTTTCCCCGCGTGCCGCTTCAACAAAGCGCGGCATCTCTTCAGTCTCAGGTCCATAAGACGAGCATTCAAACGATGTCCTGTTTTTCTTCGATATGCCTGAAGCCCTAAGTCTTCATTTAACACCATTTTCACCATGGTTCTGCTTAACCCCATCTGAAGGGCCAACAGTTTCTGCTTACGTTTGGGATTTCTTGGAATTCGCGCCTTCATAGCTTTTATCACTGCTGGAGTCCTAACAGACCGAGGGCGACCACTTCTTGACCTGTCATCTACACTACAGTCTTCATTGTATCGTTTGATGGTACGATAAACGAATCTTTTGGTTATATTCAAATTTTTCAGTATGTCAAAAATTTGAATTGGCGTGTAACCGCAACGATGCAACGCAATAACTGTAACACGGTCTTCTTTAAGCATCCACTCCATATTTAAAAATTAGTGAAATTCTAAAAAGTATACAGTTTTATTTTCATGAACAATTCGAATTCAATAAACTTTTTTGTGGCCAGCATTCTAAAAGAAAAGTTTTTATTGTGTGACAATACTTATGACCTGACTAGGTATATGTGACATTCGAAATCGTATAAAATCATCGAACAAAAATGCTACCGACGCAGATCCAAAGATTTCAAAATTAATTAAAAAAATTGAAACACGATATTTCAATAAAGCTTGGAGGGAAATTTGAAATTAAAGCATTTATATTTTGAACTAGCTGTGCCCGCGGCGTAGCTCGCGTATACAGGTTTTACATAAAGAATTTGTCGTTTAGTTAAGAGAATATTAAACGATTTATTTCATTACTGTATCAATAAGTGGTAACTAAATAAATCATTATCATCAAAGTTCTAAGTCGTTTATGATAGAGCTTCTGTGTAAACGACGTTAGAAGTAGGCTTAGCCGGGGTGTACACAAAAAGGTTACGGGGGCTACTAACGCGGGAAAAAGCAACATAGAGTTGGCCATGTGCAAAACAGTCAGTACTGAGGTACACTCCTACAACGCGTAAAGTTTGACCTTGCGCTTTATTTACGGTCATCGCATAACACACGCTCACTGTAACTGGAAACTGAACGCGCTTAAAACTGAAAGGAAAGTTACTTCTTAATAGAGGGCTTTTGGGCAGTGCTGCCAGATAAAAAAAACTCATTCAGCTCTAGGACAACACAAAAAGCGCTAGATTTCATGAAAACAGCGCTTTAAAAAAGCCCTAGATTTCGCGCTAAATTAACTATAAACAAAGATTGTGTTTTTTTTTTATATAATCATAATAAAGAAAACAACATTAAGTTTTTTTCTGGCAATATTTTTTTGATGTATCAATACTTCGCAAGACATCGACTTATAATTATGGCAATTGCTGTCAACAGTAGTCAGATGCTGACATCTGAAACTAAGTTGCGAAATACATTGCACTTTAAAACAATTAATGACATTTTTACTGTTCGTACATAGTAATTGTTTTAAAGTGCAATGTATTTCGCAACTTAGTTTCAGATGTCAGCATCTGATTGCGGTTGCTACACAGTTTCTTTGTGTTATAACTTCTAAGTAACTTTTAACTTAGCTGTGCTCTAAGCAACTGACTGAAACTGAATAAAGCAAAATAAATGCGTTGCCAAAACCATGAACGAAAACTTTAATAAAGGGGATTTCTCCGCTTATAGTCGTCGGTAAAAAATCAAGTTGATCATCCTAAAGGGGAAGCCAGGAGATCCATTGCACAGGGTATCCTAGTTTCGACTCGTCTCCCATGCTCTTTGTTTTGTGGAAAAAATATGTTTGAAAAAGATAAACTGCAATGTACTATTTGTGGGAAAAAATAATA